ACGAAATAAATGGAAGGGCTCTGCCTGCCGCTGTGCCGCCGTTGTTTTTTTCCTCCCCCCGCGCCGGGGACGGAGCCCCGCAGCAGCCCCGGGCTGCCCGCCGCCCGCACCGAGCGCCGCTCCGCCACCTCGGGCGTGCGAAGCCCATTCCCCAGCGCTGAATCCCCAGCAAGATCCTCCCGTTCTTACCGTCCGCGAAAGAGCCCGATCGCCGCCGTGTAAACAGACGCCGATCAGATCATGGCATCGTTTTAAAACCATGAAATCAGGCTCCCCCTCCCCCTCCCGCCGGCCCCGCCGCTTCCCCTCCTCCGCGGAGCTGTCCCCGCCGCGCGGCCCTGCCTCCGCGCACACGGACACCGCACGCACCGCACACACCGCGCACCCCCGCCCACGGCCATGCAGGGCCGCGCCGCGCCGCGCCGCGCCGCACGCAGCCGCCGCCCGCCAGGCGCAGCCGGAGCCCTGCGGGAGCCCCGCGGCGGAGCCGGGCAGCGCGCCCCGCGCTTTGTCCGCTGCCATCGCGGAGCGCTCCCCGCACGCACCCGCGGCTGCGGCAGCCCCGCTCCAGCCCTTCCTCCCTCCTACCTGTTGGTGCCGGAGAGCCCCGCATGCCACAGCCGCTCCTTCCCGCGGGATCCCGCCGGCCTCCTTTAAAACCCTCCTCGCCTCCCTCCGCCGTCGCTCGTCCTCCTTCCCCTCATCCCTTTTTCTTTCTTTCTTTCTTTTTTCCTTTGCCTCGGTACCCTGACGGAGCGCCCAGTCAGCGGCTCGCCCGGCGCATGCTCGCAGCGCCTCCTCCCCGCGCCGAGCCCCGTCCTCCCCTGTCGCAGCGGCACGGTCCCCCCCGTACCGCGGCGGCGGCGGCGGCGGGCTGGCCGGGGCCACGGCGCCTCAGCGGCGTCCGCTCTCCCGCCGGGGGCGCGGCAGCCGCCGTCTCCGCGGGGAGGGGAGCGCGGCCCCCGCCTCAGCGAGGGGAAGGCGGCGGCACGTCCCCACCGCGAAGCGTAGCCGAGCCGGATTTATCGCCGAGCCCGTTCGAGGAGCGGGAGGGGGAGGAATTTGGTCCTGCGCTCCTTGTTTATGCCTTTGAACTCCCCCTCCCGCCCCTTTCGCTGGAAACGGGGGCGAGGAAGCGGCCGCCGCGCGGCTGTCGCCCGCTCGGATCCCGCCGCCGGCGGTCCCTGCCCCGTCCTCGCCCGGGGATGCCTGCCCGCCGCCTCCGAGCGGGGCTCCCTGAAACCGCCGCGGTTCGGGGAAGGCGTATTGGCTCCGGGGTCGTCAGGGCGCTGCGCTTCCCCCGAGTCTTCCCACCCCGCCGCCGGCAAAGCGCCTTTCGCAAAATTCAGGCAGAACGGCGCAGAAATGCCAGCGCGCTGCTTGGCGGCGGGGCCGAGCGCTCGTGTCAGCCCGCTCTGCCCCAGCGGGGCCAGCGCTCCCCTCCCGCGGCACGATGGGCCGGGCGGTGGGGCGACTCGATGGGCCGGGGCCCGGTGCCCAGCGGGCCGGTGCCGTCACCGGACGGAGCCGGCGGGACCCGAGGCGGGTGCGGCCTAAATGCTGTCAGCCCTTAGGCGGAGCACTGTGGGGTGCCGCTGTCCGGCAACCTGAAGAAGATGAGAAGAGTTTGGGGAAAAAAATAAACCCTTGCAAGAGCCTGTCCCTCAGCCCTCCTGCCCCTTCAGGTTGTATGGGAATTTATCCAAGAAAAATAACATTTAAAAGGGAGTTGCACCCAATATAACTTGTTTTGGCTTGAAAGAGGTTGTGGAACTTCTTTTGGATAGGGAGATTGGGGTCCTGAGGAACTTAGAATCATAGAATCATTAAGGCTGGAAAAGGTCACTAAGACCACGTAGTCCAACAACCAACACATCCCCACCATGTCTGCTAACCGTGTCCCTCAGTGCCACACCTCCACAGTTCTTGAACACCTCCAAGGATGGTGACTCTGCCACCTCCCTGGGCGGCCTGTGCCGATGCTTCACTACTTCTGAGAAGTTGCTTTCCCTAAGATCCAGCCTGAACCTCCCCTGGAGCAAATTAAAGCCATTAGCTCTCATCCTATTGCTGTTACCTGGGAAGAGAGACTGATCCCCACCTCACTACAACCTCCTTTCAGGAAGTTGTAGAGAGCAATAACGTCATCCCTGAGCCACCTGTTCTCCAGACTGAACAACCCCCGTTTCCTCAGCCACTCCTTATAACTTTCTAACTGGGATCTTCCAATTGTGTCAAAATGGGTTATTCAGGGGAATAGACAATATTCAGGGGGTGTTTCATAATGTGCGTCATGTCTTTGAGACCCTTAGTAGACTCCAGGTGTCTTTAATGCTGCTGTCAAAGTTTGGGTTCTTTTTGTCACTATCTAAAAATCATTTTAATTAAGGGCCAAACCACAAGATTGGTTTCAGTGGCAGTGCGGTTAGGCCCAAAGATCTGCAGTCACTGGACAATTCAGTTACTTAAAACAAAAAATTGCAGTGTTTCATGCATTTGTCTTTTTCTTGAACAGAAAACTCAACAGAGCTCAGTTGCCACATACTTTTTTCTTTTTTTCCATGAATGCCATCAATATGAAGTTGGGTTGGTGGCTCATCTTTGGGGTTAATTTCCCTTTTACAAAGATTTTTCCAGCTGTTTTGCAGCTACTCCTGTTGTTAAATATGTGCACACAAAGCTGCATCTACCGTGACTTTTATAGTCATTCTCAAAGTTAAAATGTGAAGAACAAGAAAATGACTACCAAGCTGGTAAGAACAGTCTTTTTAATAGAGCAAAGAATTCTCTGAATGCTTTAAAAATTAAACACTTTTTAAGTTTTAGGGATTAGGGAGCAGGTTGATCATATCTGTTACAGGACAGCTATAATATGTTCATGGCCAGAGCCTATTTGTAGATTCTTAATTTAGGATTTGTATTTAGGAGTAAACAATATGACATTATTGTCATTGTCATCATTCCAAAAAAGGTGTAATGAAGTAGTTTCTAAAGACAGATGTAGAGATCTGTTCTGAGTAATTCTCAGAACAACAGTTCTAGAGAATGGAAAGGTACAGAAAAAGAATAGTGAGGAAGCCTTTCTTGCAAAGTGAGATGATTGGTCTGGGCAGCCTGGTCTGGTGACCCTGCACATAGCAGGGTGGTTGAAACTAGATGATCATTGTGGTTCTTTTCAACCCAGGCCATTCTATGATTCTGTGGTTCTATGATTAGGGTAGCCAAGCAGAATTTCTTGGGGTTTTGCAACAAGAAAGGATCAGGAACTCAGAATAAGTGGCCCATTCCTCAGTGTAAGGGCAGCAACGTTAAGGGCAAGAAAGAGAACCTGTGTGCCATGTTAGCATCTCAGAGGAAAGAAACAGTTACTGTTGGGAAGCTAAATATCTTTTCCTCCCTTCTGAACGGAAGTGTGTAAGTGTGCTTTTCCCCAGGAAAGAAGGGGAAGAGGACAGAGTACAAGTGAAGAGTAGGAGCAAGAGGATTCACTTACCCCATGAGAGCTAACAGCAGAGTGATTAGAACACTCCCTAGAGACTATGAGAGCCAAAAATATTTCCTGTATTTACAGGTTTGGGCAAACCTACTGTAAGTGTATTGAGAGTTATAGTACAGAGCTCTTTCATTTTGTCCTTAAATAGCTATTTAACTTTTCAAAAAGAAAGAATCATAGAGTAGAATGTTACTGGTGAGTTACTCTGCATTATTGTTTGTAACTAAGGGTCCCATATTTGGACTGTTAAAATTTTCTTTTCAGACAGTGCTTGAGAAAAAAACAAGGGTCTGGGTGCTGTGAACTGGACCTATTAGGTCCACTCCCAGATCAGGATCACCTTTTTGGAGAACCATACCTAACAATATTTGGTCTTCAGCAGGAGATCAAGGCAGCTCATTCCCATGAGGTTTGTATTTGGGTACACACAGCCAGGTATCAGGAATTCTGGAACCCGCATGGTGGATGGTTGAATACTATTGTAAAGAAACAGCAGTAGTTTGGGTGCATGGCACTTGATTTCTTTTGAGGAATCATGTATCAAATTTGAGAGCAAGCTAGGCATGCTTGGTAGGCTATTCTCATTGTCTTGAGCTTTTTCCTAGGAATGGAAGAGACTTTTTAGAAAAGTCTGGCACTGAGAAATCTCACTAATGGAGTCTGAGGTAGAGATTGGGCTGGAGCACAGGCTAGTGATGACAAGTGACTATCAGTTGAAAAGATGGAGTGAGATATTGGCCTCACCATTGTCAGTAACAACTCTCACCAGTTTCAGCGGAATCAGGATTTCAAGTCTAGGGCCAGACGCTGTGAGTAGCTAACCTGTAAAATATTCATGCCTCTGCTCTCTTGATTATTTCAGAAACTAACGTGTTTACTGGTGGTTTGGAAATTTGGCAGTATGTAATGTCTGCTCAGTCTGCTGAGTGCAAACTGTAAAGCACAGTAGGATTTTGTGACATTTCTTCAGAACAGGAGAGATACTCTGCAAGGTGTACCCACCTCAGTGCAGAGGCCAGCAGAAGATTTATGTATTGCTTAAGAGACTGTGATAGATGCTATCAAAGTACATTCTTTTCAAAGGGCTCAAGGAATTCTTCCAAGGGAAATTTCATGCCAGTGCTGTAGATTTGTGCAACTTTAGAATAGTATTTAAGCAGGACTTATGTAATACAGAGACCTGTGAAAGACCCCTGCACAGTGGAGAATTTCACCTGCAATATATTTGGTTCCCGTGCTTTGTAAAGTGTTTGCAGAGTAAAGACATTGTTGGTAGTGTCTGGCTCCTGGATGGCTCTGAGCACAGACATAAATTTACCCCCATGAAGATGTCTGAAGTGGTCTCCCTCTCGGTGATGCCTATTTTCTCCTATAACAAAACTGCATTCATATCACTATGAAGAACAATTCCTATGGATAATTATTGCAATTTACTTTTATTAATTTTTAGCTAGATCCTCAGTTGTTTTTTAAATGTTTCTCAGAGGTGTTGAATGATATATTTTAAAACTGTTTCAAAAGTACCCTCTGAAACTTAATTTTTGTTCTTGAAAATTGATCTGTGTTGCATATTTACATAGGGATAAATAAAGATTTAAGGGCAAATATACAAAAGGTTATCTTCTGAAAATACAGAAAGTCTTTAGAAGGAAATATCTTCTTTGTGTGACTGTAATGGAAAGAAACCAGTATGCTTCTGAATATCCCATTAGATATTTATTAGATTACATTAGATATGTATTCCCAGACTTCTAAACATTTTTTAAGGCTTTTTTTTTTTTTCATTAGAACTATATTTGAGAGATGGAACACACACCTTTTGCATCTAGCTTTCATAGATACGCTACCGAGTAAGTATTGTAGTGTCATTTTTCATGCAACTTAGGTAGTGTGGACTTGACTTCACTTCTATCAGATACTCAGAAATGCAGATGAACTTAACCTTATCCATAAATAATTACCTATATGAATTTGCACTGCTAATTTATTTGTGTGAGCAAGTAAAGGAAGTAAAAGTTGGCCTTGTTATGTGTATGTGATAGAGAGAGAGGTTCATGCTGCCTCTGTGGTTTGTGCACCATATGTGTGCTGCCCTGTACCGAAGAATTACCAAATTATTTTCATAGCCAGGGTGGAGCAGTAATAAAAACTGATCAAGGATACAGATACTCACATCCACAGTTATGCAAATCAATGATTTACAAGGCTTTCCAGAAAGTAAAGTCTCCTATTTTATGATGTTGGTCCATGACATCAGAGGCGGATGTTGGCAGTAGGGATTGAACCTTCTGCCAGCATTCTGTTGTTGCCCTGCAACAGATGGCAGCAGAGGGGCAGTCTGACAAAATGGCGTCTGGCATGGAAGTGCTATGAAGCAAAGGTGTGTCACTGAATTCCTCCATGAGGAAAAAAGGGCACCCACTGACATTCATGGATGCTTGCTGAATGTTTGTGGAGACCAACCAGTGGATGTGAGCACAGTGAGGCAATAGGCAGTGCGTTTCAGCTGTGGTGACAGTGGCAGTGGGTCAGCTCCACCCATGCTGTTGTTTACGAGTGTGGCATGCAAGCTCTTGTTCATCTCTGGTGAAAATGAACAATTAATGGTGGTGGCAGTGTTGAAAAACAGTATTTTGTAGCTGAGAATTTTCTCTGTCAAATATTGTTATTGTGCTCTTTGTATCTGTTGTAGTTTCCATGGATATAAAAAGGAGGCATTACTTTCAGAGTGATCTATGCATTTCCAGATAAAAATAATAAAAGGAACTTTATAGTAGCTGAAGGAGTCATTCCAAGCAGATAGATTTGTTAAGATAATATTTTTGAATGGTTGAGAATATTTGTCTGATATTGCCATCTTGGGTTCCTCATAAATTGTACATATAAATAATGTCATATTTTAAATTAAATTTTCGAATAACTTCTTCAGCTCAAATTACAAAAAATACCAAAACAAAGAGTAAACACTATTTTGTGGACCCATGTATCATTTTTTTTTTTTAATGTGAATAATACTGCACTTGCAGTTTTGTTAGTGGGCAGTATTAAAATTCTCATTCCATCAACAGTTTTTAGTTAGTATGAGCAGCAGCGTAGTCCTCTGTGAGGTCCTGAGCTGCTGACCTTGGGAGGATGCTTGTTGTTATTCCTTGTATTCCTGGGGAGGAGGATGAAACTCTCATTGGTACTTGAAGAGAATGTGGGCCAAGCTTACTGAAATCTGTGCTATCTACTATCTGTCTGCTCTCCTCACGTGCCAGAAATTCCGTTGATGTTTTGTTAATTGAATGTGGAATGGGAGGAAAAAACTTTCTTCTTTGTCCCTTGCCAGAAATAAAATACCCTTTCTTACAAACACAATAGATGGGATTTGTTGAAGCACATGCACAGACACTGGGGATAGTCTCACAGAAGTGACGATTCATGTATTTAATGTATTTTCATCTGAAGTTTAATTAATCCAATTAATTGTACATATTTATTGTAAGCTGTATTGCAGTGCATCTTTCAACTACTGTAAATGCATTCCTTGCGCTCATCTATTTTTTCTGTGTGTGACATACAGTTATATGAAGTCATCATAGTGGTACAATTCAGCAGTCAAAGTAGTGGAAAGGACCAGTGCTAAGCATGGTTATGGACTCATGACTAAGTCACCCTAGGTGAGTGGTGTGACTTTTGCGTGCACCTTACCAGTAGAACAAAAGCAATGTGGTGTGAAACCAGCAGAGACTTTCGGATTCAGAATTCAGGAAGGGAAGTGGGAGTGCTGACCCAGGGCCGTGCTATGAGCAGCCTGAGCAGCCCTGGCCTCCCCTCTGCCTGCTGTTACAGATGTTACTTTCTGCCACCCTTCTGACCATGTGCGGGTCAGAGGGAGGTGTCCTCAGTCCAGGTAAGATTTCTAGCCAATGCAAGTCAGCACCACATGACCATTAACATAGAAAGCTGTGCACATGTACTTCAGTGAGAAAGTCAGTTACAGTGAATTTAGAAGTGCAGTCTACTAGCTGTAGAAACCAATGTTTGACAAAAGCATGTAGATTTTCTTTTTAACAAAAGAAGTGTTTGGTTTTTGTTGTTCACCTATCTCACCCCTTCCCAGGTATTATGTTTGATGGTCCTTTGGTCTGTGCTGTTTTAACACTTGAGTTTCAGTAAAATGCTTATTCAGAGGCTATGTCATGCTCTTGGTTTACTTTGCTAAATGGAAAGTCAGGACTCAAAATAAGCCAGCCACTGCTGAAACGCACAGCAGCTCTGCAGTGTCATGGTCATTAGCAGTGCCAATCAGCATTCAAGAGCCCTTTTTTTTTATCACCATTACAGATGCCACTGGAACACTGTGGAGCAAAATGAATAGGGTTGGTGACATTACAGAGAGATTGCTTGCCTTGAGAGAGGAACCTAAAAATGCTTGAGAGATGAGGGAAGGATGATTTCTTCCAGCTGAGCTCTGTCCAGCATTTTTATGCACCCAGTACAAAGTGCAGAAAGCCTCATGTTTGCAATGCATGTCCCTATACCAGTTATGTAAAGCTATTCTATCCCATCTCTTTCTGTGCTGTTGGCTCACTGGAGATAATTAAGAAGTGGTTGGGGCCTAATGAGAGGAGTGATTATAGTTCATTATTTTTCATATACTTTCTATCATGAAGCTATATAATGACTAAGTAAATTTATGCACATTTCTTCCTTTTCACTGAGCCTGCAGTGAAGTTTTAGTGAAGTAAGGTACATGATCTCAGAGGCATGTGAGGTCTATGAAGTTTTGTGAATGTAGGTGTTGGCAGCTTACCTTTTTCCCACTTGCATTCTCAGAACAATCTAGGGACATCCCTTTCTAATCCAAACTCTGACCAGGCTTGGGTATGCACAGATACACAGCCTCTGCAGAATGGCAAGTAGCAGACACCATGCTAGTAGAACCAAAGACCTTGCTGGTTCTGTGATAGACTGAAGATATTCATTATTTTGATATCAAACTGATTAATAGTCACACTGCTGAGCTTCCCCTTGCTTCTGTTGCACAGTTACTGCTCCATTTCTTCCAGTGCTCAAAGAACTATTTGCAGGACTGTTATTTGTGTACAGCGATATATCTCAATCCCTTTTTGCAGAGTTGAGAGTATCAGATCTCCAATCTTCTGCCATCTTTAAGGTTAGGCTAGAGGTGAACCATGAATGGACAGCATGTTGTCGGATTACTGACACTATTTGGCAATAGCATTTGCTATTTCTAGCAATATACTGAGAAAGGGATTTAAAAATAATAGGATAAAGTAGGATAACTGTCGCTGACAGCTTTCAGAGAAATTTTAGGCCATGCTCAGGGACAAAAATTAACAATGTCAGTGTTAGAAATACTTATTTTTGCTGATATGGTCAGTTCACAGCTAGGCATTAGACTTGCTACTAATTTATTGTTTCAGTTTCTATTTGAATACTGACATGTACAGTATACAGACTTTGAATTGATTTCAAAGCTCTGAAAAACAAACAAAACAAAACAAAAACCCACAACCAAACAACGAACCAAAAAAACCCCAAAACAATGGTTAAAAATAATATATTATCCTGAATGATAATTGCTTTGAATGCTTAGGATTCAAACAGTGGAGAGTCAAGTCTGTAACATCTGGCATGGGAAGTGAGTGCTGGCTTTGTGAGTATTTAGCATGAATATATCTCCTACTTCCGATCTTCAGGTCTTACAGTCTAGAATGTAGAAATACTTGCATGTCACCTCAGCTGCTACCTGTTTAATGCAACTTATTTGGCAGCTAAAGCCTAGTTGCATGGTTTCCTTTTGTAAGTTTGTTGATTATTAAGTATGAGATGTTCTCATTTATAGGCAGAATATGGAGAAGCCATTCTATGTTATAGAATCACAGAATGGTTTGGACTGGAAGGGACCTTAAACACCGTCTTGTTCCAACCCCACTGCTATGGGCAGGATCACCTTCCACTAGATTAGGCTGCACAGATCTCACTGCACCCTGGCTTTGAATACTTCCAGGAATGGGGCACTCACATCATCTCTGGGCAACCTGTTCCTGTGCCTCACCCTCCTCTGAATAAAAAATTTCTTCCTAATATCTGATCTAAATATTTCTTCTTTCAGTTTAAACCATTACAAACCATTAACCCTGTTCCTGTCACTACACTCTTTCCGCATTTTTCCTGTAGGCTCCGTTATGTACTAGAAGAAGGGAAGACTGGAAGTGTTAAGATACTTAAGGTGCAGATGCCAGAAACAGTAAAGGTAGGTCATCTGTAAGAAGTACGAGTTGATTTCTGCAGATACTATCAGAGCAGTACTGTGATGGTACAGTTGGAAGAACTGCATGATTGCAGTTCTGTAATGGAATTTTAAATACAAAGTTATTACTGAATTGCCTATTTCATGGCAGTATGAAAGAATGAATGTTTTATTGAAATGTCACCTACAGAACTAATTAGCCTAATGTTAGCAGTGGCAAGATCTGGTCCTTAATTGGACTAGTATTTGCATATAATTAGGCAATGTTTGAATGTCTACTGGTATTTAAAGAAAAGACTAAAAAACAGAGCAGCAACAGGATATTGTGCTGCACTAAATAAGACACTCAGCTGGCAGGAGAAGTACATGGGATCTGATCCCTGCTACCTGAATTGTTTAGTGATGTTTTCATTCTGTTTTCTGCTTGACTACATCAGGTCAGGCCATGGAGCAGCAGCCAAGACCTAAATCTTACTGTTAGAGGCAAGTGTCCTAGGCAGTGGATGCAATAATAATTTCTTTTTTCACTTCTTTTTTTGTTTTGTTTTGTTTTGCAGTGCCATTGCCCTTCTGTTTTTACATTCAGAGAATCCAGAATTGATAGGAAATCATGTGTTCCAGAATTGTAGCTCCTGGTGCTAAGTGGTAATGCAGAAGGTGGGCTTCCTGCAGTATTTGTGTGTGCTCTGGCCTCAGTGCTGCTGCTGCTGCTCCTTACTTGAACAGGCAGGTGGGACTCTTCAAAGGACTTTTTCTGGGAGGAAGACACATAGATCATCCTCCATCTCATATCTGGATTGCAGAGATTCTGTTACATATTCGTATTTTTTTTTTAAAGTTCAGTGAACTTATTCACTCTCTATTATTAAAATAAAATGTGGAAATAAGAGATCTAAATACTAGTGATCTGCTTTTCCTAATCTGGGATGTGTGCCTGGACATAAAAGCACTCATTTCCTTTGATGAGTGAACACACCAGCTCCTTACAGTGTAGGACGCAGCCAAGGAAGGTACCTGTTGGGTAGTTCTGTGCTGCCTTTGGTATTAATGTTATGCTTCAAAAACTAACAGAACATTTAGTTGATATACTGTATATCTCTATTATGTATAATATCTCCTCATAAATATGCATGCATAACAAAACTGTGGCAATTTGAGGAATTTATGTAGAACTTATGAATTCTCTTTGATATCATGGGTTCTCCAGATATCTCTGTTTCAACCTGCACACTCTGTACTGAAAAGAGAACAGTTTTTTTTCCCAAGCTTTTTGGTGTATTGAATTTTCAAAGGGCCAACCATGGAACATCATGAAATGCTGACAACCTGAAGTCAAATGGATGATTCTCAGACAAAAAGAGTTAGCAATTGCTCAGAATGATTTATTTGCCAAAGTGGATTAGTCACTAAAATGTGGACCACATCCTGAGGAAACCTGGTGATGCTCACAGAGAAAGAAAAGTTCAAAAAGGAGGAAGGTAGCCTAATGGCCACTCTGAAATGAGACAGAAATGAGAAGAAAAAGTGTGTTGTAGAAATGTAAGAAGTGTTTTTCTGCTGTCACAAGCAGCCAGAGGCAATTGAGTGGATAGAATTTGTGGAAACACAAGGCTAGATGTACATGTACTTTTGACTAATTTGGGTGAGTTATATAATGGAGTTGGGATAGCTTTGGGTAGATACAGGGAGGAGGAGAAGAGAGCTATAGTTACAGCCTTAGTTTGAAACTTTCAGACTTTTGCTTCACTTTGCAGTCTCGGAGTACAATTCTGGACCTGCTTATATCAAAACAATTTTAAGGTGAAGTGGTTTTTTGATCTTTAAGCCCACTAACCTTTACTTTAAAATCTGCTAAACTGGGGATATAGATATTCAAATATGGGTCCTAATGAATAGATAGAGTAAGGCACATTTCAAAACAATGCTAAATGCCTCTTTTTATTGTAAAAATGTGTCTTAAATCATGCCTAGAGATTTCTGAAATTGAACAATATAAAAACGATGAATAATGACTAGTACTAAGAATATGCTGAGATTTAAACACTGGGTTTCTAAATGCACAAAGGAAGAAAGAGATGCAGGTTTAGTAGACCTTGAATCAGGATCATGTCTTAAAGCTTAGATATGCTGTAATGTGAATAAAACTGCATGATCTAGCAGTTTTAAGAAAGAATTTCTGAAGTGACTGCACCAGGGGATGGTGAAAGATTTGTTCTGATCTGTTCAATGAGAAGATCCTTGAAGGAGATTTTTGAACCAGTGTAGTTTACACGCTTTTATTTCTGTGGTAAGTTTAGAGAAACATAAGTACTTATAAAACACATTGCAAATGCCTTAATTCTATATAACCTGCACATTTCTCCATCTTGGTAATGAGACCAGAAGCTGGTGGTAGGGATCAAATTGTTCAACAAGGAAAAAAAGCAGTCCTTCACTCATGAAGTCTACTTCCTTAGCTTTCTTCATGACAAAATGAATGCAGCTGCTGCAAACATAGGACAACAAGAAGGTGTTTTTTTCCATAGCAGATAAAGAAAAGATGAAAGCTCAGTTCTATGAGAGGATGTGGAAAACCTTCTGAGCAAATATCTCAGCTGCTACTATACAGATGAGAGTGTATTTAAGGTCTATTTGTCAGTGCCTTTCACCTTGCTTTTATGACATTTGCTTCACAAACATGTATTTTGCAGTGAATCCATCAGTTTTTGTTGTCCTGCGTTAAGACAGATGTCACTGTGATATATTAAGGAAGCAAACTGATATCTACTAAGTACGGCCAGTTTCAGATAATTGGGAATTCACTTTGAGTACACTCAGTTTATTTTGGTGGTTTGCATAAAGTGATCACATGTTGTTCATTCAGCAGTGGAAGGTCAGTAAGTACTCTTTTGGAAGCAGAAGGGATTTTCATGGTTATTTCCCATGAAGTCTATTGGGAGTTAAGCAAAGAAACTTCTGGCAAAACTCATGAACGCTCAGATTTTGAGTGCTTTACGTCTCTAACTTACAGCTACAATAATTTACTTGTTGGTCCTTCTGAAATTGAACATATAATCTTTTTTTTACTGGGATTTGCTTGCTACTTCTGCATAGAAAAAGAAGATTTACAAAGCACTTCTCATTCAGTACAGAGAACCTTATGCAGGTTAGGTGGAGGGAGCTCATGGAGAACTGTTTGACATAGAGACAAAACTGATTTGTCTTACTACTGAAATGATAGAGGAGAAACAAGGCAGAAACATAAGCTGATGTACATCAGCCGTGTGCAGCACACATGCATTAAAAGTGAGTGAACAGGCATTTTATATTAGTCTGGCGTCCTTGAGAGTGGGCTGTCCTGTGGGTTTCCCTTTTCCTTGAGTGATAAATCTTGGGGGAAAACCAATGGAGTATAAATTGAATATATGAGTTCTGAAATGTATTTGTAGAATAAGAGTGGGGAGAACATTTTTTTCCAATATTTATTAAGATGTAGGTCAAATAATTTACTGGTAGCAGACTGAGAGAAAAAAAAAAAAGAAAGCGTCTATTTTAAGAACCAATTTAGATTTTCACATAAATGGAAATCAAGAATAATTCTACTGCATTACACAGAAGTGTAAGGGCTGGTGCAAGGTCAGAATGAAGCCTCTTGTGATTGCTGTTCAAAATGAATTTAAATCAGGATGACTGTACTGATTTCAGCAACTTCAAGCTTTTTCTTAACCAGATGAAAATTTGTCATTCAGTTAATCAAATAAATAATTTAGCTAATGTTTTCATAACGAATCAGATGGGGCTGGAGCTCAGTGTGGCTGTAGTTCCCCCTGGGCACCATCTGTTGCAAGGTGTTCTACGGGTCAGAAGATAGGAAGCCCTCCTATCCTATTGACTTAGCTGCTGCATCCAAACCTGCATTTTATCTTCGACCTTGTCCAAACCTCCCAGTGATGCAATGTAAACACCATGTGCAACCCAGTCTTTTTTTCAGGCTGTCGAATCTTAATATTTTTGAAATGCTGAATTTGTCAGGAGTTGAGGTAATTCACATTTGAGGCTTTGAACTGAAGCACTGAATTCCATTTGGAGTACAGCACTAGCCCCATAAGCCCATCTCTAAAATTCTACTCCGAAAAGAGGATTATTGTACATATGCTGTATTTGCTCCCTTTTTTCCATAACCTTTTAATGCCTTGGGGATTGAGTTTCACTAGACACAGTGGGAGAATCCTGGTACATCTGGTTTCCCTGTGGTCTTACATGATGACTGAACAGCCTCACAGCTTTTGTGGTCAGGTTCCCTATGGGCTCACACTGTGATTAGATTTATTCACCACAAATATATCCTTGTTTGCCATAAAGATACGAGTGAATTGAGCTGCTGTTTATGCATCCCATTTACAACTAAGATTTCATAGAATCACACAGTAAATTAGGTTGGAAAGGAACTCTGCAGGTCACCTAGCCCATTTCCTGGCTTGATCTCTTCCCAGATAAGATTTTTTTTTTTGTCCCCTTTTGAGGATGGGCAATTTAGAGATATGCTGTCAATATATATAAGCTATACCCTTGAGTTCTAGCAGTGATCTTTGCTTTCCTATTTCTCTCAATTCCAAGCGCAGACTGCACATACAGCCTGTATTTGAAAAGATATACAAGATCTTTAAAAATAAAGAGTAATACCCAATACTGAATTTTGAAACTTGAAATCTGGCATGGAAGAAGGTTAAAGACTCATAAGCCATACAGTTGCAACTGAGAGCATATAAACAAAGACCTGATCAACTATCCAATTTTTGTCATAGCAGGAGATGACTCCTCAGAGAGAAGAGGTAGTAATGGCCTGGCTGTGCAGTTGGAACCCAGGGACACTCAGCTGCGTCACACCCCAGGCAGGATTTAAGGTTACCCAGCGTCTGTGAGGTTACCCAGCATCCCTTACATCAGAACAGCCTGCTGCCAAAACCCTGGCATGAGGAATGGCCGTGACAAAGTTGTATGGGGCTCAAAAGACACAGTTTGAACATCCCTTTAAGAGAGCTTGATTTAATTTTAAGACAATAAAATTTTTTGAGCTGACTTCACTGAGTTTTTCACCAGGGCCATAATTATTACTAGATAACACTGACTTGTTCTTGAGAAAGCACTTTCTGCCTATTCTTAATGTACAATGGTTTGTGGGATTTATGTTTTCTTTCTGCAGATACAACAGAATGAAAAACATGGCTGTGACATTTATTGTCGAGTACTGGTTTCCTATTGGCAACTGCACTGGATATATGATCAACATCTTTAATTTTTATGAAGAGATGAAAAGTGATTTGTGTAAGGCCCATTGAGATACTACTTTTTATTGAAAAAGGACTTTTATTTTTTGATAGATGTATAAACACTGTCAGCTATAAACTCTCTACAAATCTTAGGTAGACTTTTGGAAGTTGACCACAAATGGCTTTTCTTAGAAGCTCAAACTTTAACAAGGCATAATTGTTCCTTGCCATTCGTGAAGACACTGAAATAAATACATGTTTGAGGAAAAATGAGTCAGGATGATTTCTGCTAATACTCTAGATCATTTAAGCAGATTCAAATACATTTTAAACTGCCACATGTGATTTCTGAAATATCGCAGCTAGATCATATTAGGTTAAAGTCTGAGAAATAAGTGCAGGTATTTACCACGTAATTTCCATAGCCTGCTAAGTTTTGAAAAAGGTTGGCAGAAAATGTCCTTGAACAGTTCTAGAATTAATTAAAGACATCCTGATTTCATAGGTAACTCACAAAATAGGTGAACATATGTTGATAAAAATGACAATTTTCTTTGCTTTAATTGTGCTGGGATTAAAACTGGTCATGTTTTAGGACTGCTGCTTTTCTGTGAGGGGGTTTGGAAGAGACATGCTGTTGTGTCATTTAATCTTTGTATTACAGCAATGTGTGCGAAGAACTGTATTAACAGAACAAAATACAAAGACAGATCCTTCTCTAATGAATTTTGGAGAACTGTGTTGCTCTGCAGTATTTGACCCCATTTGGAGAGAAAAGGTAATTTTCAAGTTCTCTTATTTGTGAAGTAACAGTATGAAGATGTGCACAAGCATCTTAGTGCCTTGAATTAAGGCAGCTGGGAAAGCTGCTGGAAATGTGGATTCCAGATGAAATTTCCAACACAAAGACTATTGAGAAGGAACATAGCCAACACAGTGAAGCTCAGATAGAAGACAGACTCCAACCCTAGGATGTGGGGACAAGATGTTTTCTCCCAATTACAGTGGTTGCACATCAGGGGTCTGCTAGTGGCCACCCTACTTTCAGGTCTTTGAAATCATCAAGAGCTTGTTCTCTCTATATAGCACTCCAATGGGCTGCTTCGTTTTGATTTTCTCATCAGTATCTTGGTTCTGCGAAGATGAATGATCCAGAAACAAAATGCTGTGCTAGCTGCCTGTTGTGCCTGCTCCTAAATTTGATAGAGCCTCCCACATATTTGCAAATACAGGGCAGCTGGGGGGACCAGTCAATATTTGGAAATATTTTGAATGTCTATTTAATTTCATTGTTCTTTTTTTGTTTTCAGCTCAAAATAGGTGTGCTTTTACAGTAGTCTCCATACCAAACCTTAGTGTGTACATTCCAGCTTGCATGCTGAAAAGCTTTCTTTCTGAATATTGAAAATGTAATATTTATGTACTCTTGCCTATTCACGTGAACTGAAAATCTTTGTAATTTTAAAGCTGGTTACATTCTTTTATAAATTAACTCTTAGTGGTATGGTTTATTTTTCAGTCATTATCTAACACATTAAAACCTTGTTCCACAGAAGCTAAAAGATCTGGGAATAAAGTCTTTTGGGTACTGTGCATCTTTAATATCATCAAAGCTCACTGTAGATGTTTTGCTGCTTTTAATTCTAGATACTGGTCTTATTTTTCTAATCTGGTGAATAAGCCCCCCCCCAGTTGACTTTACATCACTTCTTAGCAATTTGTTTAGTGTAAAAAATGGGAGGACGAGCAGATACAAGCCCTCCTCTCCACAACTCTTAAGAATCTCCTGACATTACATCAGCTTAGATCTGCCAAACCTTT